GCCACCTGTCAACAATTAAAGACATTGAATGACTGATGATACAGTGCTCCATTATCTGAATAGAGGGTGAAACAGACCCATAAACGTGTTATACTTTTTTAAAGGAAGACATCTGTCTCTCTACTTTCAAAGACAGATCTAGAGTAAGCTTCCTGCAGACAAGTTCACTCAATATTGCTTGCACTTTATTATGGTAATTCATACTCAGTAACACCACCATCTGTTTTAAACAGATTGGCAGATCCATGAAAACAGAACATGTGAGATACATATGGATGAACCAGCCAGAGAAGTCCACTGTGACACAGCACAAATTTGAGCCATGGTACAACTGCAGTAGCATCTCCATCCTTATTTATTTGTGGTTTATTTAGCGCTTTTTCAGTAGCTCAGATTATACAGCAAATACTAAAATAGAAAGGATGTGGAAGAAAGAGGTCATGGCCTAATTTAAAATACTATCCTGGCATTTTATTATAGCCCTGATGTTGCAAACAGAGCCGGTACCTGAAACGTTTTTAACCAAGTGACATGACTGATGGCCAAGGATTTTATTAACCATAACACAAATATAAAAATTCAAAGTTGTCCTCAATGGAGTAAATAGTTTTCAAATGTGCCTTTTTGAAATTCTGTACACTTAACTGGCTGTGACATACATTAATGTACGTACAAGTCCACCAATCATAAATTAATTTCACTATAGATTTCACACTGCATACAACCTGCATTTATTTTCTTGCACTGATTTTTATTAAATGCTCAGTTTTGAAACATTTTTCAAATACAAGTTGCAGAACTGAATATCTCCAGTCTATACCATATAATTCTCTTTAGGAAATGTAAGAGAAAACTGATAAGTTCAATCGAAGTACCACGTAAAGCAGAGAAAATACTGAACCAAATCATACCAAATTATAGATTCTCAACAATTCTTAGCATTTGCAATATCAAATTCCATCAAAATCCATTTAATGGTTTTTGAGATGAGATGTATATGGAAAGACAAATCCCCATAATTTTATTCACTTCATAAACACTCACCCGTATCTGCCAATGCTTCGTGTAATATCATCAACCTTCCTCTTAGTTTCAACAAATATGATAGTCTTACTCTCCTCTTCTTGTGATATCTCCTCCAGAAGCTTCAGTAACCTAAAAAGTTTATTAGTGGCATAAGAATAGTTTCAGGTAAGATGTGTGTTGGTATATTTATTATTATAAGAAAAATGAATTCCTAAATATCCCAGATCATGATATAGTGATATTTTACCTTTGAATTTTCATCCCAAAGATGTAATATAAAGTCCCCAGGAGAATCAATGCAGCTGAATCTGAAGTTTACTACAGTCTTGGCACATTTCAATGTAAGTGGTATACTAAGGCTACAAAATTTGACTTACCCAACGAAGTGATAGCATTACTCAGCCAAAAATTACAAGTATAAACTGAGGAGACAAAAAATGTGGGATGAAAAACAATTCATGGAAGGTTCTCATCATCAAATTCACTCCTTATTGGAAATTATGCTACAAGACATTTCAGTTCTGTTTTGTTTGTTCATTACTGATACATAACTACAATGATCAAATGAGGTGAAAGTGTGATTACCCAGCAGGCATTCTTGGAAATCCATATTTAATGGTTCCCTATGAGACAATGGATTTGGTTGCCAAACTCAGTAAAACCTGGAAGTTAGTGGTCAAGGCAACAAAAATTGAATGTTACAAGGGAACTCTGAAGTTTCATATATGATACAGCTAGAGAGAATGCTTTATGCAAGTGGACACCTTTAAGAGTAGCATTATTATTATTATCTGCATATTAGTATACTGGATGTGAGGAATTGCATGTGCCAACACAGGGCTGAGATTAAGGACACATAAAGAGTGCAAGCCACGTTACATGAATACAGATGCGATGATGGTGATCGGATTCCATGTATTGCTGGGAAAAGTAAAATGAGTGTGCCATACCTGTTGAAGGAAGGTTATAGGCCCACACTCCACCTTATGAAACTCTTCAAAGGATGATAAATACCAAGTGGGGAAAACATAAAGACTTCCCCTACAGATATATACTTACTAAACATAAGGACATGCTTGAAGTGTTTAAACACACATACATTTTACATGCAGCCATCAAGTAACAGTGAAAATATTGTAGTGTGCTTGCACCTTTACACTACACATGGGTGGTGTAGCACAGAAAATTGGATCCGTATACATTGAATTATGATCAACATGATGTCACCTAAACTCACTTCCACAGATTGATAAAGCAAGAGAGACACATTCCTTGATTGCATTTTTTATGGTAGACAAGTGATTACTTTTTTGTTCAGATGAAGAATCCACATCAGGGACAGCAGTTACTATCTTCAGATGTCGTCAAAACTGTCACAACAGAATTATATCATTGCGACTGATCATGTGCCTCAATGGTGAGAGAAGTAAGAGGCCTTGGAGGTGTTTATGTTGAACGTGGGACAAATGTTCTGCTATATAATTTATACTGATTTGTTGTCAGTAACACATGCTACAAATACATAAGAAACTTCAGAAATTCCACTCATACATGGAAGAAAACCTTAAAATTAAATAATCATCTTCCCATCTTTTGCTAGAAAAAGACACAATTCTTTAACATTTGGCTGCGAATAAAGAGCACAGAGTAGGTTGAACAGAACTATGCCACATTTTCATAACAATTTCTTACTTTGTTTCCTTCTCATATTCCTGACACACATCAATGATCTGAAGAATATTGTGGTTAGCTGCAAGTTGAAGTGAACCAATGTTAATCTGAATGTAGTCATTGAGGAACTCCTCTGCCAAGTTACGCACTTCCTTGGGCCATGTAGCAGACCACATTAGCACCTGACGATCAGGCTACAACACAATAACATCTTTGTTTACATTACAGTATCTGCAGTCAAATCCTGTACCCTGGTTTGACAGTTTAAAATAAACATGGATAAAACTAAATTTATGCATAACACAAAACCAAATTCACATACCTTTGTCAATGAATATGCCTAGTATGATGCTAGTGTTTCACAAATAACAGCTTTAACATTCATTCCACTGCCTATTCCCTGTCAACTAATCATAAGTGTTTATCTCTCTGATAAGCGTGGCCAAACACACACATCCTCATAGTTCCATTTTGTTCATACTATACAACACATACCTTGCTTGATTTTCAAACAATCATATGCTAACATCATTGGTTATTGGTTAAAAGTAATTACACACTTTACATTCTGATTTTCCAGGCATGAAATAAAGCTACCAGGATCATTAATATCTGCTGCCGCACAGAATCAAGAAGGAAAGGCAGTTACTGAAATTCTTACCATATTTATCAAGTTTACTGAAGAACAAATGATGAATCAAAGAATTTGTGCCTTTTGCTACTTTAATCATCTTACCCGAATCTGCTCAATGATCTTGCGTATTTGTGGTTCAAATCCCATATCAAGCATTCTGTCTGCCTCATCCAGAACAAGGTAAGTACAGCGCTTCAGATTGGTAGTTCCCCTCTCCAGAAAGTCAATCAGACGGCCTGGAGTGGCAATGCATATCTCCACTCCTCGTTCCAAGTCTCGTGCCTATATGAGCAAAGAAATGGTCAATATCCCCTGCCCTGAGTCAGTAACACCATATAATTTTTTGTACTGCCATGTATTACCTGTGGACCTTTTGGCGCACCTCCAAAAACACAGGTGTTACGGACATGTGATGACGCTCCAAACTCCTGTGCTACTTGTTGGATTTGCTGAGCCAATTCTCTGGTTGGAGCCAACACTAATGCAATGGGGCCATCACCTCTGAGCAAACGAGGTTGGCTGTTTATGTGTACGATTGCTGGAAGAATGTACTGGAAGAAAATGAAATTGGTTTTGTTGCTCTTGTACAGTCCATCAAATGTAATACACATGAAATGTAGGTTGTAAAGCAAGGCTACCTCTCTAGACCATATCAAGAATTCTAGTAGTTCTTTTAGCAGTATATTCATGCTTTCCTTATAACTACTTCAGTATCATTTACAAAAACAGATTAACCAAATGTCACTAAAACTGACAGACAAATCCACTTTCTCGAGAAATCTAAAATATCTCTACTTACAAGAGACTGCTTATTTATCATGGTATTGATGTACAAGAAACAGATTGATAAAATCAGACAGCAGATATGAACACTTTTTTACAGTACATCGTGGCAAAATATTAACCCACATAACCAAACTATTTACAAAATGTGAAAGGTCGTGGATTAGTTCAGAAATATATACAATATATACAGTTCAAACAGTAAGATCATGAAATTTGAATCAAGATTACTCGGAACATAGAGTTGAGAAGTATCACATGAACACATGATGGAATGGCAGGCATGACAGCAAAGAATAAAACTTACAGAAGAGAAAGAGACAAAGACAAACACAGCAAAAGGATATTCAAAGCACAACATAAGAAAAAATTATGGAAAATGGAACTTGCCCCAACAACACATGTATTTAGGCTTATTCATTTGTGTTATAGTTAATAATACTGTCACAGTAGCCAAAACTTTTAATCAGATGAGATGCTAAATGAATAATGAATTGGAAAAGATTTGGAACAAGTGGTCATGGCCTAATCTGAAGTATGTACTATCTTGGTAGCTACCTGGAAGGTCTGAGGAAAAATACATAATTATTCAATTTCCAATACATCATTCACGTATTTCTTAATTCAACACTATATAGAAAACAATAAAAATCCAGCCAAGAAAATGAGTATAAATTATGACAGGTTGTGGAAGAGAATAAGAGTTTAAAAAATGAACAATCAATCCATATCTTGCCATCCTACAAAAATATCTGGTCATAAATTATAGTTTGTCAGCAGTACATCAAAAAAAAAAAAGCAAAATATATTTGAAATAAAACTGTAGCATGGATAACAAAACTATATGGCCTTGAACACAAGCTATTCATGGATACAATTACTTATTACCATCTTCATTTTTTTTAATCTACACAACAGGCACAAATGCTGTTTGCTGGAAAGTCAAGAGAACTTATGTTTATAAGGAAATTGTATCAGCACAAACCCATGCATTGGGTAATTGTGTGTACAATAAAGGAATCACACTCATGTAGGGGCAAACTCACCAATAAATTATTTCAATAATAATTTGTTGGAGCTCCAACTCATCCTATGATAACAGATTAGAATGTTCAACTGTGTTAAGCTTCTGGGAAAAAAGTAATGTAAAGTAGCCATTGTCTGATGTTAACAAACTCATACTTCCTGTTACTATGCACATTTAATAAATTCTCTGTAATATTCACAGTTTATATCAGCCTTAAATTTTAAATCATATATTTACAAGTCATGAAAATGCATTCGTGTTATTCTTCACACAATCATCAAATACATGTACTACATATGATTCATGAATCTTTGAACTGCATCACCATTTTAACATAAACTTGGATGTACAGTATAATCTTCCCTTCTAAAACTGACCAAGACTTGCATGTGGTTTTAAAATATGGCAGGGAAAATGATGAAAGAATAAAAGCATCAATTCCTCTGATTCCTTATGGTAAAATAACCTTACTTTACTAACAGTGCACTCCTTTATGGTATACTTTACTTACAGCCAATGTTTTCCCGGAGCCAGTTTGGGCTATTCCAACCATATCCCTGCCACTCAAGGCAATTGGCCAGCCTTGGGCCTGAATGGCTGTGGGCTCTTCAAAACCTTGTCTCCTGCAAAATAAGCTGATGTTCAGCACAAATACCAAATATAAACTATTTGGCAATAAAATTATCCACCTCTGTGATCATTACCTGATCTCACTCATGACATAGTCTGGGAAGTTGCCCTCATCAAAACCAAGGTTGGGATGTGGAACATTGTTTCCTTTCACTGTTATTTCCTTACAAGATCTGTATTTGATTACTTCATGCATGGGCCTGAAATGATATTCAACAGCAAAATTACATCACATCCTGGTATAATACTTGAATCCCTGCAGAAAATGTCTTACATTATCAAAAGTACTGTAACTCATTGCTTTACCGGCTGACAACATTTGGATGTGGTACGTAAAAATCTTTTCGGAAAGGTTGTAGGCTGCTCATATCCCATCTTGGTTTCCTTAGCCTTTCACCTGGCTGTTTACCCTTGAGACTATTCCCTCCACCTCCTCCAAATCCTCTTCCTCCGCCAAAACCACCTGCACCACCTCCACCAAATCCTCCACGCCGCCCTTCTCCTGAACGGCCTCTGTCACGGTTACGATCGCGATACCTATACAAACAAAGGAATACAAGTCGAAAAACGAAACTTCATGAATATACTGTAACATCCTTCACGTGGAGAATGCGAATAATTGATTGCAATTAAGAATAGCATCTTCATTACTCACTTAAAATTATTTTGACATAGCTCATCGTTAATGACAAATAGGCATACCCTATCCCGTCGAACTTACCAAATGAACTTTGAGTTGGATATGCGAACCACGAAATACAATAGCCTATTTGTACAATACAACTCGTCTTCATGCTACCTGCAATCAATAACATATTTCGTATGTATAATGGATAAGTACTCACATGGTATTCAATACTGGTGTAAATGCTGTTGAGTGCTTTACCCGCGATTCAACGACAGCATACAGAATATTAGAAATTTCGATACCTGCTCCTAAAAAAATAGCAACAACTGTTAATTACATAATTTCTCCAGCATGCAAATATAAATCCGCAATAATAGATCTTCCTTAGTAACAGCTAAGATGCAACAAATTGTTACAAAATATTATTACAGTAATATTTTCACACACCAAGTCAGCAAGCACAACCCACAGATCACTAAACTAGGATCTACTTTCGGTCAAAAGTGGATAAAATATTTAGTGTGCAAAATGTTTTTCTCCAGCATGTAAAATACATAAATATGCATTAAAATAAAGCACATATTTTCCCTTCAAAGAAGGACTTCATAATATTACCTTTAAATAAACATAAATAAATAGAAAGCAATAAAATATAAAGTACTACTTTTCGACGGAACCGGATATCACTTCGAAAGTAATCGACGACATCTTACCAGAAAGATTGTGAAAAAATGTATATAATTATTCCATCTATTAAAAATAATAACTTTTTTTACATAGACAGTCAGACTCTTGTATTCCGTTGATCGATGCTGTCCATAATCTAACTGTACCAATGTCGTAATGATTTAATCACTTCCTTTACGCATTCGAAAATTGGAGCTACAATGATGGCTGTTTAGAAAATTGTAGCTCTCTACCTCACAAACAGATTCTCAGGAATACAAACGTCATCGCAGAAAATGATATGGAGGTGTCCATCCACAAATATGATGTATAGCGTATTTATGTGGCTTACACAAATAAAAGACGGAATCTGTTCACCAACCGAGTTACCAAAAGCTTGCATATAGGCCTTAAATATACAGGTAGCTCTCGATTTACGCCCGGGATGCTTTCCTGGACGAACCGGCGTAAACGGAATCGGCGTAAATTGAAACTCTTTTATAATGTAAATCAATGGAAGTCAATGACATACGTTCCCAGCAGCCAAACATTGACGAGTAATATAATGGCATTACATTTAAAGCTCTGAAATAACGTAAATAAAATAAAGGGAATTTATAAAATATATTTTATACACTTACAATCGGCAATTCATTGGTCCCCGCGATTGACTGGGATCCTTTAATGTGGTTGATGTGTACAGTCATCTCTGCTGTTATGCGATACTTGCATTCATGTAAGACGCCGACCTATAGAAAATCGTAGTAAATATAACCCCGGTACCTCTGCAGAGATTAAATTAGTCCTTTGAAAGTTTATAGAGCCAGAAATGAAATTGCATAAGAGCAAACTCGCATATGCAAAAGTTTACATTTCACAAACAGCTTTTACCGATTCATCGATCTCATTGGAGCAAATTCGCGTTAACGAAACATACGTAATTGCAGAGATGACTGTATTTATAATTTTTATTCAAAATCAGCGATGTAAAAATTACGATTTAGTACAAGAATCAGTACGCGACACATTGTAAAACGTTATAAATAATGGTAATATATATTTTTTTCACTTTTTGACTTGCTGGTTTCAAAATCGGCGTTATTCTGAATCGGCGCAAATCGAGGGTTACCTGTACTTAAAATATGTCATTATTTCATGCACGGATCAATATCCTACATGGAAAAAAAAAGAACTCAATTTGAAAGAGGCTGAATGTGTCCAGAAGTTGGTATTATCTGTGATCAATAACAGGCTCACATTTCAGTACCAGGAATCAAATTCTACTTTACCAATTCTCTTGTATCATACTGGAAACCAGCCTTTCTGTGTGAGAAACTTATGGTATAAAAGCAGTGTAGTCTCACTATCAGTGTAATTTTTAATAAAAAAAATTGTGTTCTTCTAACCTTCCATTTTGTTAGAATCTTCATTGTTGTTCTGTATTAGTTATGTCTGATACAAACATTAATAAATACCATGTATAAAAATAACTTGTTTTAATTGTTTAGATGCTGGCAGAAAGTCTCATTTCATGCTCAGCATATCTGAACTGTGTAATATCTTTTCTACACAACAAACATTACAAAACTGTTATCATACCCTGCATTAAATCACATCAATGGAAGTAGGTGTGCCATTACAATGTGTGTAATGTACTAAAATAGCATCTAACAGAATGTGTGTATATGCTGTCCCTATTTTATGTATTTTTGCACTCCATGCACTGACAAGGATTTTATTTTGTATTAATATGATATACTACTCCAATGAAAGATGGACATAGTATTTTTTATGTTTCAGCTTACATTATATATGTGACAATACTGTGAGTCTCAAGACGGCAATACAAAGTTGAAACATGTAGCCAATGTATCATTCTAATCAATCTACAGTGGAATTTGTACATAGCTGATTTGTAATATTATTGTTGTGTGTGATTCATATACTACGAGGCGCGTCCTCAAAGTAAGTTTCCCACTCGTCCCACAGCTAGCAAACCTTATATTGCGCGAAGCGACTGTGCGTACGTGATAGAGCAATGACGTAGCATGGCGCATGCACTAACGGAACTTCCCGCGTTCTCACA